AAAAGGTAGTTTTCTAGAGTGTAGTAAGTAAGGCTCTGAGATGTAGGTCTTTCCTGAGATTGTGGTTTGACAAGTCACATAAGTAAAAGCAGTCCTCGACTTGTAGATGAACATCAGAATTTTATAGGATTATTCAAAAGTGAGAGAAAGCTTTCATTATAAAGTTTCTCCATTGGTCCCAAGGTATGGCCTTCCAAAGTATTTCTCCGGCTGCTCTGCAGGAGAATAATGTGCTTCAACCCATCTTGTACATTGTTTTGATGCAGAAAAATCTCAGTATTATTATGATAATTAAAAATACTGACGCACTTGACACATATGTACATTATATTGTAACCTCCACAGTAAGCCTGTGAAGTAGATGGTGTTTATCCCCATTTTGCAGAAAAGGACGTAGAAACTCAAAGATGTTAAGTGATTTCCTCAGTGTCCTACATAGTGTCAGAGCCAGGACTGAAATCCAGGCCCAGAAAGCTCTGCCTATAATCAGAGCAGGGGTTCTGCAAGGTCCTTCTCAGGCACCTGCCCCAGAGGAAGACTGGTGGGTTTAAAGAATTGGTGGGAGCTGCTTTCCCAGAGCTGGTTGGGAGGGGAGAAGAAAAGAGGGAGGTCATATTGTCAAGTGGTTAAGAGCACAGGCCTTGGAGCGCTTCTGCCTTTTCCACTTACTAGTCGTTTGATCTTGTGCAGGTTCAGTTATCTTCCCTTTGGTTGTTGGGTATTGGTTTACAAGCTCCTCAGGAGCTTCCTGGGGGTAATCTGAAACTGGCCCTGGTACTTAGAGGGCCACTCCACGTTGGTAGGTGGTAGGTTTCATAAGCCAAGGGAGCTTACATATAAGGGCAGCAAGATGAGTGGATCCCCGCACCTGCTGGCCAGATTTTAAAAGTTTATATAGAGGCCATAACTAGGTTCAGTCATGTATACTGTGCAGGTGTTCCCCACACCACATCCCTATCTCCAGGCTGCATCCTCAGAGCAGCCCCTGGGAGCGGGAAAGGTAAGCAGAACCCCCATTCCTGGGTATAGGGGGTGGGGAGCCTCGGACTGCCCAGGTCCAGCTCACAGGTCAAGTTGTAGTCAAGTCTTTGACGACCTTCTCCAACACTTGGTACTGGAAATAATAATAACCAAGTCTTGGTATTGTTGGGTGGATTAAATGAGAGTATATAAATGTGAAAGCACCTAACATAATGTTCTGGCGCATAAGTAGGTTCCTTGTAAGTGCTAGCTGTTACTTTGTGGATCAGTATGAGAACCGTTGCTGCTGAGAAGAGCATCACTGGGCACAAAATGCCTTAGAAGGAGAGCCTGGATGAGCTGGGCAATTATTCCAAGTCAAGGATGCAGATGAGCAGGTGTGAGAGGTATTTTGGTGTAGTGGTTATGGACATGGGCCCTGGAATCAAGGTGCCTGGAGTTATATCCCTAGTCTGCCATTTACTAGCCGTGTGACCTAGGGTAGATTATATAGCGTCTCTGTGCCTCAGATTCCTCATATTTGAATGGAGTTGAGAATAATAACCCCTCCCTTATAGGGCTGCTGTGAAGATCAGATAAGTTAACATATTTAGCATATTTAAAATGGACCCAGGCACGCAGTAAGCACAATCTAAGTGTTAAGTTACGGCATCTTCAATTTGTATGTAAGAGATTATTTTGGTGTGGAAAAGTCATTATGAATTGACCCGTGCATGATCTAGGTGCCTCAAATTGATTTAAAAGGCTATGCAGATGGAACAGTCTCAAGCTTTAATCAAATAAGATAGCGTTCAGGGCTCACTCACAATATTCAACTGATTAGGTTTTGTTGGCAGTCTGCTCTTGTCTAAAGCGAGTGCCCAAAAATGTGAGTACTCGCTGGATGCAGTATCTTTTGTGAAGAGAAACCAGATGCCAGACAGGCTGCAGTATTAGGTGGGTTTTCTTGTTTCTCCAGGGTCTGAACTGAAGCCATTACACAGCAAGATTTTTAATCACTTTTGTCAAGAAACAGCTTTTGTCTGACTCATAGCCAGAGTAGACCCAGATGCACCCAAGAGTTTCTAACAGTTTAAAAAAATAGATGGTGAAAAAACATCCAAATACTGAAATCAAAATACATTTGTGTTCAGAAATGGATAGAAAAAATGAATAAAACCCAACCTGAATATAGGTAAAGGACGCTTGATGTGATAGACAGTAATAGTGTCGCCAAGGTGAATAGCAGTAGGACTAGAGTATTACTGGTATACAATAAGGCTGTGTTTTCAGTTTTGAGAAACACGTAGATAAGGACTACTATAGGGTCTGTGAGAAATTTCTGGTAATACAAGCTCTGAGCTTGAGAGGCTGTTAGAAATGAAAAACAGCTTACTTTATTTGACGCAAGCAAAGATATGCTTCATCAGGCAGAAAGGCGAAGGAAAGAGGATAGAGATTAGGTAATGGATCAGATGAAGGTCAAGGAGAAAGGCTGAAGACTGAAATTGGGCTCATGTGGAGATAAGAGCAAATGGAAAAGAACTTCGAGGCAAATGTAAAGAATTTGAGAAAAAAAATCCGCCCCCCCCGAGATTGACTAGGTAAACTGAGATGCCCAGCCAAGTATTTCTGAACAACAGTCTTACTTTAGTCTTTGAAAAGAGCAGGAAGAGAGGAGATGCCCTTTGTGCGAACCCCTGGTAGCATGCGGGGAGAACCTACTGGTTAGCTTTAAACATGTAGGCGTTGGTCGGTTTTCAGATTAGCCTTACAAGGTATGCCTTCATTGATCCTTCATGAAAATAGACTCAAGAGCGAGTTGATGCCAGTTGTGGAAAGGTTGCTGTATTAGTCAGGAAGGCCAGAACCACAGTAGGTATTTCAAAGAGAGGAGATTTAATAGGAAGAGGGGCTGAAGATTCTTACAGCATCATTGTCAGAAAAAAGAAGAGAGAGAACAAACACAGCATCCTTTCCCTTCCTGCCACCTGCTGATTTCACCCAGTGCCTCCTGTTGGCAGGAAGCCAACTGGCACTCGGGCCTGGGAAATAAAGTTTTCAGATT